TTCCTATCAAGGTGCTCTACACTAATCACTGCTGAGCAACCGGGTGTCCCAGTAGTTTTTATCTTTGACAATGCGCCCGTTCATCGGAGGGCTTTGGATGCGCAGCTAAATGCCAATCACCATGTCCGATTTCTCCCGCCATATAGTTCCTTTTTCAATCCATTGGAAGAGGTCTTCAGTAAATTCAAACAGGTGAGAGATTTTATTCTTTTAATTCCCTTATCACTTAGTACATTAAAAACTGGTTCACTGGAAACACTGAAGCCATACGAGATGTACCAAATGATTTGACGATACGGGCATAACGTCTAAACCTACTCCAATCACTATGTGATGCGGCATTTGATACCGATACTACAGTCGACTGCGCGAACAACGATCGTCACACAATACGAAAATTTGTAAAATATAATTTTTTTCAACATTCGTTGACCTCAGAATATACCGATAGTTTTTGTTCTAACTCGCATACAGCGGTGGGACCAAAGGTTGTGCGTCGAAGCTAAAGGACTGCTGGTCGTGGCTGAAGCATTGCGGGTTTTGGCTAAAGGAATGTGGGTCAAGGCTAAAGGAATGTGGGTTTTGCCTAAAGAATTGCGGGTCGAGGCTAAAGAATTGCGGGTCGAGGCTAGAGGATTGCGGGTCGAGGCTAAAGGATTGCGGGTCGAGGCTAAACGATTGCGGGTTTCGGCTAAAAGGTATAGTTGAGCTAGGACATTCTCAAGCGTATTTATTGATTACGAAAAGAAACATATGACGGAACATTTATGACGTGTAACGTAATATTTTAAAAGCAATGACCCGGATTTCAACATGATTTTACGTATTTGAGGCTTAAAAAATAAAATGTTATTAGGTAACACAGATATGCTCACAGTTTCCGTGTTCATTCATTCGATCTCTCACTTGCTTATTCTGAATGATCCGTAACTGAGTATGCTTGAAACACTACACGAGAAGACCTTTTATTGTACCCAAAATAATAGCGTCAAAGACGAAACAAGGTGTTAATTACCCTTTTAGGGGCCAGTAGTCTCTACGGAATCAATTCAAGTAATTTTCGTCGAGTATTGTGAATAAGTGATACGGCGTTTTTTCTAAATATAACTGAACACTGGCTCATTACCAATTACTAATATGGTGAGAAGTTTTGGCGAATAGAAATCGTTTGATTCATCAAGGATTCAAAGCTTCCCAGAAACTAACCGTTTTGGTGACCGAATATCTTCAACCAATCTAACTCTGCTCAGAAAGTCACATCAGATCAAGTGATTTTTCTCATCTTCCACTAGTTTGGAATTGTAATTCCTCCAAGTAATCAAATCCTTTTTTTCTAATTTCGTAATATTAACTCGTTATAAAAAACCCCGATATTTTGATAAATTTTCTGCTTTTGTCTTCTCTTCATGGCTTAGGGTATCGCATATACCTAGTCATTGAAACTCCGCTTAGACCACTTGGAACTCAACGAGGTTCATGCTTGTGATTATCAAAGTTTAGACAAACAAAACACGACTTTCCCTTTTTCACAGTCACGAACTTCTTTGTTACTCGTGTTCTCCGCGAATTAGAGAAATCAAAATTTTGTTTCCATAAAGCATGCGATAACGTCAACCGTTGATCCATTAGGAATCTGTGAAACAAACCAGATGTTTAACATCAATCTGTAATGTATTCGGATTACTTTCGGAGAAATCCATATGCCAATTCTGTTTTAAGTGACTCTTTTTCACACAACCCCCCCTCTTTTGACAACCGTATAATGCAATGTATGAGTCGAGAATCAGTTTATGAAATTGTATAAAAGGAACAACAGGTGCCATCATCAAATAAGGTGAATACCAAAAGCTTATTCACTACGAGGGAACGATCTGTCCTCATATTTTTACTTTAGAACCTAATCGGGTTTCCACTGCAATGTGAAAAATGTGACATTTTCGGTGATCTGCAAAAGCACCAAATGGTTGTCTCACTCTTGTTAGGGTTCATCAGCATTGCGCGCTAATTTTTCTTTCCCGGGTGATATGCGAACAACCGACCCTCAAGTTTGACTTTGGAAACATAAGTCATGAGCGTTAAGGACAGCTAGTAACATCATAGAGTTTGGTTCTGAAACTAACTAATTATATAAATATATTACACTCGGTCATAAGAGGCATACTTGTTTTGTATTAATCCTTCCTAGCCAATAACTTGCAGTTTATTCACACTTACTTGTAATTAGTGGTGTGGGAAAATCGAAAGACCATTCTTCAGACTTCATGCACATCCCTCAGCTCTTCTAGTCAGTCATACACTCGTAAGTACTAGACTCAAGCTTCGCTTTTTTAGAGCTCATCAGTGGTGCATATCTACCTTCCTGCCCGGGTTTTGAACTGTGAACTCATCGCATGAGATGCGTGTGTGTTACCACTGTGTCAAGNCTCCTACCGGGGCTGAACCGAATTAACAAATCCTGTTTGTTCAGGTTTCGTCTTCAGTGATAGTCAGTCAGTTCATTTTCCCGACAGCAACAAAGGGGGAGGCGGTTAAATATCTGTTAACCGACGCATCAAAAATCGCCAAAATCGATTTACCAGAAAACGATTTAGCATTACTGGTAAAAGCATGCACTAATACAGTGATGCTTATTTTCTATCCGTCCTTGAAGGTATCGGAACGGTTTGGTGTCGGAACTCATACACCGGGCATGTACAATGACCACATGAACCCCCAGATTTCTAGCATCGACATTTCGATTACAGTCTAAATCCCGTGACCGATACTGGTGAATATATCAGCCTTTAATAGGATTCACTCGGAATTAGGCGAAACGACCGCTGACCTTAAATCAGATGTTAGACGGCGGATATGATAGAACTTTGAACCTTGGATTGCGAACCACACCACTGCAGGGGTTTTACACGAGGTTTAAAAATATTTTTTCCAATTTGATTCCCCAGATATATATTTGACGTCATATAAACAAGGGATATCAATAAATGACAATAATGATTGAGTGATCCTGCCACCTTTTATCTCCACAGTCCAATGCATTCTCAGACTTCAGAAACTATGTACACACACCGAGCATTGAAATCTATGCTGGCGATCACAGAACTGCAAGTGAGCAATAGTCCACGATCCAAAAGTGGTGTGTGGCCCCATTGGGTATCTCCGGAATTAGAGTTTGAACTTCCAGATCACACGATTCCTACCACAACAGGCACACAAACATTCATGGTCAGTGCTGATGAGCTCAAACAGGAAAAACCAGCGTTCTTTGTAAATACACGGTTCAATTGAGTACTGCGCTGCATTTACACGCTCTCCGTCACATTTGGAATTTTCGCCCGTTTTCAATTATTGTCGTTTGTCGTTTTCATTCACCAGATCACACAGTTTGTTTCGAATCTCCCCGGACACTTGCCGATTGGCTTGCGGGACTCCAATTTATTACAGCCCAACCTAGATCCAAATGGCCAGATCGCAACCTGACAAGTTGCTTTTAGTTTCAGACCTCTGGTCAAGAGGACTGTTTCTTTATGAGTCAGCACAAACATTCGGTCACTGTCACTGTCCTTTGATCAGAAACGCGTGAACCTTTGTACAAATTTTGTGGGCTAATCCTGGTCGAAGAGTTATATAGAGGATACTCTGCTATCAGTGGACGGTTTCTTAGTTCACCGACCGGAAGGGGGAGCCGAATGAAAGTAGACCGGAGGTTTTTATCTCATACGTCAACGGTCCTGGTCTGGCAGGTCCATTAGTACTTGATGGATACTCGAAGCGTAACCGGGCAGTGCTACCCAATGTTGGTGTCAGTGTGTTCTCCGATCCGAAAGTATTGCTAGCAGACGTTCCGTAGCCAGCCTAGGCTACATCATCAGTGAACCTAACAATACATCAAGTCAAGTCAAGGAATCCAGTGCTACCCAATATTTTTCCGTTTTAAACAAAAGGCAATTATCTTGTACGTATTCTCTTGCTGTGTGTGATCCAATCTTGTTATTTCTCCATCTGTTTTTAACATTTATCGGCCCACTCATAAAAGTAATCTGGCACATATACGTTGATGACACGGGTCAAACTTTTACATATTTCGTTCGATCGTTAGTTAGCACTGATACATGTCACCAGTCCCATAAGAGGTTATTCCATGTGGAACAGCGCAATCGCCAATCATTCAATCCTTCGTTGTTTTACATTGATCGCATCCGTTTCCATTAGTGACTGCATTTCACACTTAGTTTGAACTTAAGTGTCCTTTCCCAATGTGTCTTTGAATCTTTCTTCCAACCTGACAACAATAAAACTAACTTTATCGACTCCTTATCTTTTAATGTTTATCTTCTCAATCACTCTCGTTCAGGGGTAGTTTTTCTGTAGTATTTGGAATAGTATTCAAAATGGGATTCCAGAATTCGCGCAATACCAATCCCCGAAATAGAACAATTTCGAATAGAATAGCACACGAACATTTTTCGAATCGTATACCATGAATATTCAATGCATTTAAAGTGTGCAAGGAATTTCGAGGTCAGTGTCACACATCACATTTTCATAGTCGTCAAATTTCATGTCTTTTCTCATTGTAATTCAGTGATTAATGTTATTCATATTAAAAATACTGTTCAATTAATAGTCTCCATTTATCTAAAGCAAGGATAAACGTCATCCTAAGAAATTACCTGCATGGACAAAGGAATGTGCATACAAGTTCCGAGTGGTGTCTCGGTTTGTGGCTCGCCACCCCTCCCTTGCACCTCACGTACTATTCCCATATGATGAAGCGTCGCAAACGACCTCTCCAAGGGAGGCCCTTCTCAATGTCTTCTCATGATGGAGACATTTTACCCATCAAAAAGAATGGACGAAAAGCCAATATTCAAGGCTATAATCGGGCAGTTCACCTAGGAAAGTTAATTGAAACACCCTGAATACAAACCAGTCAAAACGAGGTGTACGATCCACGCACATACCCTTCTGGTCAAGTAGTGGTCGCCGGCTCGGTTGTGTTGAACAGAAGGGCCTTCGGCCCTTGTTTTGATTTCGCCCAGTCGGTTGTTTAAATATGTTTAAATATTTGTCATTTTTCCGATAGAACTTTCACACGAATGCTTGTACAGCTGAAGAGATAACGCGAAACAGCTGAAGTTAACCCGTTCTTTATTGATGTTTGTTCTCGTTCTTATGAAATATCAACACTCTTAAAGCAATACGCAAAGTTGGAAAATAACAAATTTACATGAGAACGTTTTGTAGCAGTCACAATCTTGAAAATGAGCCCGGCTTCATGCATACAGAGCGTTTCGTTTGGATTTTAAACAGTGTAGTCTCGGACCCGTAGCCCGCTAGCAAAATAGAACAACGGTAAGCAGGGTAAGATAAATTTATCATGACTCGTTCACAATCAATCGTATCAAACGTATGTTCAACAAGGCAGCAATAGAATTAACAACCAATCAGGATCGGGCCCATGTCGGTCGGTCGTATTGGCATGGGTAAGTGCGTGAGATTGATCGATCTCAGTAGACATCAATCGATAACGTCTGTGGAACGAACAAAGTATCGATGCTCAGATTGGCAGAACGTACGCACTTAAACCGCAGGCACGTATGCAACACAGAGGAAAACTATCGAAGCCCCTTCGATGACCTTAGCTTCACACTATGAAAATTAACAGACCACCTGATCCATTTTATCCACAAGATTCACTCGTCAAACAGAGTCAATAAAAATTTTCTAAAACTCTCACTGTGACAGTTTGATCTTAACCGTCCTATCACAACCTATGTCTCAAAACCTTGATACCTAACCTAGCTTGATCTTCGTTCACCGTTTGAAGTAATCCGGTTGGATTACATTTAGTGAATAAAATGATGCGTGTGACCTGACGGGTAACACTGGGTGCTTGAGTTGTTGCATTAGTGATACTAAGGGGCATATAGGTGTTAGGGTCACCGTACGGATGGTGCTGCAATCCCCAAAAGCTGTGCAGATGTGTGTGCTACCCGAGCCAGTTTGTTCGTTATTAGGACCGCGGGCAAGCAGCTAGATGAGCCGCTTAAACTGTTGACTAAACGCACACAAAAGCCATTTTGACCATGGGATTTATCGAGTCACCTTTAACATTTGAACCGGTACCCACTAGATGTACAACTCATTTTGTTCAGTCTGCTTGTGACTGGATGTGATTAAAAATGTCCCGAAGTTTGATCCTGTCCTCAAAATTAACTGCCATGCACTGGTGAGGTTAAACTTTCCAATTTTTTAAAAAGATTAAAATAAGCTTACCAACAAAATCCGGCTTCCAATTCGTGCGGCAACTATTCATTTAAAGGTTCTGTATTTTTTTAACGTGAGCGGGAAGAAATGCACCAGTTTTGCTAGCAAAATTTATTCATATCGGTGTTGTTGAGTTCCCAGCAAAGCTCTTCGGCTTATTTTTTGTTAGGCATTGTGGCGATTTCGCACAGCCAGTTTCGTTCTAGCGTGTTTCAGATAGGGCTCGCTCTCCAAGAGCCTAAATGAAATTTTACTGACGAAATATGCGTAGCATAAAACTATATGGATATGAAATAATCACAACGCAAAATCATAATTTTGGCGTGGATGCTGTTCTAATCACCACACTCTCAGCGTCTTCGATCACTGTGCCAGATGTCACACAAGTTATACAGTCCATGAAGGGATATGAAAGGGTTGATTGTGAACAGTTATCCGACCTTAAATTATTCCAAGTAAGCTACTTATGGTTTCACTGCACAATCTAAATTGCTTTTTGTTCTAACTGCATTGCACGTTTTCAAGTTTAAAGCGTCTATAGTGTGAGCGAGTTACATTATACGTTTCATTCACAACAGATCATAGAACAGGGTTCAGTGCACACAGGATGGAGGCAGCACCTCGCTCATTGTTTGAGATTGCTGCTACTGACTAGATACCTACTTGGTTCCAAATCCTCGTGACTATATACGAAACCCCCTGATAATGTGATTATTTACGTATTGTAAATCGATGATTTTTCAGTGGCGAAAATACAGAAAAAAGTGATCGTCTTACACATTATTAGTTTGCAAAAGTGTCTTAAAATCGTCACCAGTCACCGTTTTCCTAAATTTGAGCTTTCAATTTTTCTGGTGAGATATCTCACTGCAGAAACCATTTCACAGGAAGTCGTGTTTAGAATTTAGCCGAGCTGCAGCATCAACACAAAAGTTATACAATAAATCTTGCAAATGCCTGATAAATTTCACTGTAGTACACGACACGAAATGCCAAGGAATGCTACTGCAATTAGTCGATCCAGTTTTTTAACAAAGTATGTCTGCATCATTGTTTCGATCTGTACAAAGACCGCGGCTACTTTATATCTGAAAACATGTAAAGTTATGGGTTAAACTGGACCTGGTTCACGCTCGCGTCACCTCTTATTTTTAGTTCAATAGTTTCCTTGGACCAGCTACACTATGAAATTAATGAGTAGGAAATTGTAACAAATGCTCAGCGGCATTGTTCACGTTTGGACCAGATCTCTGATACCACTTGTTGCGTAGTTTATTGGAAGGGTATATCAAGATAGTCGATTTGCTAATCAAAATAAAGGGTTCATCGATATACTAAGTTCTAGGCCCATTTACAGTGTGATTTCCCCTAGTCCAAACGGATTGCACAACTGCGTATGGAGTTTAAATGAATAAAATAAATAAGAATTCAGTTTTATGTTAACAGCACACCTTAATCCAGTGAGCACTTGCTTAAAATAGTAGTAGAATAGTGAAAAAGTTAGCACATCAATCTATTCAGGGTCTACAGATTACGAAAACCCTAAAAACGTAGTCACATGGTCAGGTACTGTAGACTTTCAGAGGTGATTTTCTACGAGGGCCTCGAATTATGCACCAAAATATCTGGTTTAATGCGGACCCAAGATTTGTCAACTATGCTAGCTTATCATCATTATTGGACTGCCATCAATGAGACAATTTCCAATAAGCCAAAATGTATAGCTATTGACAACTATATACTTAAACTGCTCACGGCGAACAGTAGAAACCCTATCCGGGGCAAGCAAATGGATTTCGTGGCCCTCCTCGTGTCCCTATGGTTGCCCCCTCCCACTATGAGTTTTGATTCCGATCCCATCGGTTGTGCCGAATCTTGTTCCAGTTTTTGTGTTAGGCTTTGCGTTCGCAGTGAGTTCGCGTGTCCGTGAGTGTTCGCGTGTCATTTTTTCCCGACCAAACATGATTTGAATGCGTGTATACACAGCTGATGAGCTCGCCATGCAGTGGTGTGATCAG